ATGGAATTGCAAGGTGGTCATCCACCCGAGGTGGTGAGGGTGGGGTGGTGGTGATTTCTTGCTTTCTGTCTCTCTCTCTTTCTCTTCAGCAAGCACACACGTCCTATAGCAAAAATCTCTAAAAATAAATAAATAAATAAATAAAATAAAATCTCTAAAAATAAATAAATAAAGAAATAAAATGACTGTCCAGGAAGACAATGCAGAAAAAGTCTCAAGAGAATGTAATCATTCAAAGTCAGGGTTTACACAGGAATCTAATCAAAAGAAAACTGAAAGCAATGAATGACATAGACAATACATATAGGTAAGAAATTAAAAATCCACTTTTGCTTGTTTAAATAAAGTTAGTACTATTGGTGTTAAAATATTCAAATTTAACTTTCTCATCAATGAACTAAGGTATAAATTATTTATAACATAATGATTATACATCCATTTCCTCACTCTGCTTTTATGCTTATATTCCAACATGGAAACTAATATATATTATTGACATTACTTAAGGAAAACTTTCTTTTGTAAAAATGATGAATATGGTTGAGTAGATTTTTATGTACTCTTTGTCATTGGCCATAACCAGAAAAAAATTACCTTGAACTTAAAGTACTTTCTATTTTTTGTTAAGCACGTAATACTTTTAAGTATTGCTTAATGTAGAACTCATAGTTACAAGATGCTAAAAACTATAGTTCAAAGTAATAGCTGGCATTGCAAGGTCACAAAGACAGTTTACACATGACTTTCTGTGCATGAGGACATTCTTAATCACTAAAGAATATAAAGACAAGCTTTCTTAAAGAATAAGCCATTGGGGCCAGCAGGTGGTGTGATGGTTGATGCATTGGGTTGTCACATAGCTGACCATGGTTCGAGTTCCAGACCTGGCAGCTTGCTTTTTCACTATCCCTTTCTCTTTGTCTGTCTCCCTTTGATCAAAATTGAAGAATAATGATAATAAATAAAATGAGAAATAAATAAATCTTTTAAAATAATAATAATAAGCCTTCTAGTAAAGAAACATCACTTGCTTGCCAAAGGATTTCTTACATATGCAATTAAATAGCTGCTTTTCTGTTTGTTAATCAAATAAACTACAAAATACTTTGGAAGATTAAGAGGGAGGTTTGCTTTTCATTTCAGAAAGATCTATAACATTATTTTTAGAATTACAAATCACCAGAAAATAGAATCTTAATAAGTTCACCATCAATATACATCATTTTAAAGTGTTTTTAAAATCATATTAATTTTAAGTAAAAATTACATAATTTTAAAGTCTAAAATGGTGTTAATAATTACAAGCAAAGTTCAGCCCAGATAAGCATAAATACATACAATAGACAGTTAATAGAGGAATGCATTTCACCCCTCATCATTCCTATCAAATTTACCATCCACTCTCCATCTCCATGGTAACACCATGAGTCTGGGCCTCCTTTGCCATTCTTGCTCCTGGTTTTCTCCTTCCTCTGGTGCACCATGCATGTGGCTGCCACACTACTCTTCCTAAAACACCACTTTTCTCTTGAACACAGCACGATAGCAGATTTATCAGCTCTTCTGTACCAAACTCCCCCATCATGTGGCATAAGTTACCTAACTAAATTTCACTCATCACTGTTCTCCAAAACACACCATGCCACTCCAGTTTCCATGTCATTGCCTATGCTTCTCCTCTCTACCATATCTTCATTTAACTCCTTAGCTTTTTACAACCTACCCAGAAAAACTCCAGCCTCATATCAATGATGTATGTGGGTTGGCAAGGCAAATTGCCAAGGAGAAACTATGGTAATAACATCTGTGAGTCACAACAGCATCATTTGAGAGAATGTTTTACATACTGATTGACTGATAAAGATAACCTTCACTTAAAAATTTCTTATTAGAGTTTCACAAAATTCGGGAACCAGCAGTTAGCGTAATGGCTATGACGCTGGACTCCCACGTAGTCAACCGCAGTTCGCGTCCCAGACCCGGTGGCTGAAAACTCACGCCAGGCGCATGTGAGTGCGTACCCAAGACCCCGAGAGGAGAATGGAGAAGAGATTGCAGCAGAGTGACCATCCCCCCTGGGGGGTGATTTCTCGCTTTCTGTCTCTATGTCTCTCTCTGTCTGGCGAGTGTACGTGCCCTATAGCGAAAAAAAACTCTCAAAAAAAAAAAAAAAGAGTTTCACAAAATTCTAAAAAAGGTCCCAGCTATGGTGGAACTGGAAGTAAGAACCACTGCACAATACTAGAGGCAGGGTTTGAATCTTGGGTCAATCCAAACATGCCAGGCATGCTGCCTGGAAGGCTGGAGGAAAGGTCATGGTATGGCAAGATCCTATCGGGGTCAGTCTCTCTTTATCTGTCATGAAAGAAAAAAACTTAAAAAAAAAAAAACAGAATTCTAATGAGTTCATTAATTTAAAATTTTACAAGTGCATTTTGTTAAATATAAAACTACCACAAATGAATGATTTTAAATGTAATATTGGGTAGAAATTTTTAAGAGGAATTGCTGATGTAAGATTTTCCAAAATGCTTGCACCATCTTTCATAAAATATAAATACAGTACTATCAAATGATCCAAGTAATAAATACCTCAGTAAGTCAAAGTCCATTAAGCCCTTATAATTAAGACACAAATTGTAAAGTTTATGGTGACGGATATTAAGAGAGCAGTGTAAAAATCACTTCAGGGGCCAGCAGATGGCGTAGTGGTTACATCACTGGACTCCACGTGGCCCACCACAGTTCGAGTGCTGGACCCAGTTGCATGTCCATGTGTGCCCAAGATCCCAGGAGGAGAATGGAGAAGGGATTGAGGCATGATCATTCCCCACCCCCTAACACCTTCCATGGTGATATCTCACTTTGCCTCTCACTGTTTCTGTCTGTCTCTCTGTCTCTCTCTCCAGCAAGCAATGTGCCCTTAGGCAAAAACCTCTCCTCGCCCCCCCCAAAAAAATCACTTCAATAGCATTCACTGACATGAGTATTGTATAACTGCATGATTAAGTACCACATTGACTAGGAATACTTTTTACATCTTAACCAGATTGGGACCTCAAGCTGAAAAATTTGTTATTCATCCCCTGTCCAGCTCACACAATCTATTCACACTGTAGTCTTGGCAGGGACAGAGTAAGAACAAAGAAAGAGAATAGGACTAGGCAAAAAAAAAAACAGACATAGACTGAGAGGTCACATTATGGGATAAGTCACTTAATATTTTTATATATGCAAAATGTCAATAGTACTATATATTCAAATGACAACATTAATAATTCAGTGAATGCTTCAGAGCCTACTGAGTATAATGTAACCGTTTCTATGACTTTGCACAATTGACAAAAGAACAGTAAAATATGGTCTGTGTTCTTAGGAGTCTGTAATCCAAATGGTAAAGGAGAAGGGAATAGATGAGACAAAAAAAAAAAAGAATCAAGGCAGCATGTGTTACCGAACTCAAATCAGGTTTGCTTGCCCAAGCACTATAAAACCAAGCCATAGGCACATGGTGTGATGAAGGAAAATATAGCTTTATTGCAAAGTGCAAAGCAAGGAGAATGGGCAGCTCATGCTGAAAAGACCCGGTCTCCCCGAGATGCTCCCTACATGCATTTATTTTTTTAAAGAATTATTTTATTTAACTTTATTTACTTTAAATTTGACCAGAGAGGGATAGAGAAAGAGGGAAAAAGTGAGAAAGCAAGTCACCAGGTCCGGGACTCGAACCGTGGTTAGCCATGTGGGAGTCCAGCGCCCTTAACCACCACGCCACTTGCCAGTCCCCCCACATGCATTTTTTAAGGGCAAAATTAGGGTCAGAGGTAACAGGCACATGATCACTTCAGTGATTGGTTCAAGAGGACGTAATCATCTCGTGGGCATTTTTGATTGGTGAGGCCTTAGATAATCAAATTCCTCTTCAGGTGTCTGGAACCATTCAGCCTGAAGTCTCTGAGCTTACAACCAGCAGTTTCCAGTCTACAAAACATCTTACATATTGAAATGAAAATCTTTCCTTTTAGTGAGTTTTAGAGATCAAATGGCCCTCACTCATGGTCCATGTTGGTCATTATCATAACCAAAGTCTGAAGACTTACTCCTTACTCTGGGCCATTACAATGCAAATGGACTTTATATTTCAGGAACCCTAGAAAATACATTAGGGGGTTCTTGCTCAGTTTCACACCCAGTATTTTTTAGAAGAATAACCACAAGTACAGAATCATGATGAAATCATGAGAAACACATAAAACTAGCAATATAAGTAACACAGGTTCTGTTTACTATGTAACTACAACAGAATTATATTCCTATCAAGAAAAAAGTAAACAAAAACTATAAATATGTTGATAGAACATTAATCTCCCATCTCTGCTAACCCTTTTCTTTATTGGAGTTCCTTTTATGTCAATGCTTAAATATTTTCCATCTAATTAAAAGAAATGTTTATCCTTCTCCTCGCTCTTATTCCACTCTTCAAAAGAAAACACTGTTAATTGTGTGTTTAAGCTTTTTAAAAATATATACAGTACTGGGGCCAGCAGATAGCATGGTGGTTAAGGCACCGGACTCCCACATGGCCAACTATGGTTCAAGCCCCAGATCTGGCAGCTTGAAGATCACACCAGGGATATATGCATGCATACCCAAAATCTCAGGAGAATGGAGGAGAGGGGACTACAACATGGCCATCTCTCCCAGGGAGTGATTTCTCACTTTCCCTCGCACTGTCTCTTTCTGTCTCTCTCACATCCAAGTTCTCAAAACCTTTTTTTATTCTGAAAAATTATTGAAGGGGCCAGCAGGTGGCATGGTGGTTAAGGTGCTGGACTCCCGCACGGTCGACAACGGTCCAGTCCTATACCCAGTGGCTTGAAAACTCATGCTGGGCACATGTGTATGTGTGCCCAGAATTCCAGAAGGAGAATGGAGAAGGGATTGTGACATGGCCATCGCCCCCTGGGAAGGGTGATTTCTCACTTTCTCTCTCACTGTCTGTCTCTCTCTTTCACCTCGGTGAGTAAACATGCCCTATGGCAAAATCTTTAAAAAAGAGAAAATTGAAAACCCCAGAGAGCTTTTGTTGATAGTATATTTCAAGTTTTTAATGACAAAAATTGCAAATATTGATTTATTTTTAAATAGCAATTATAAATCCATTACATGTTAATATAATAACTTATTTTTATTAAAAATAACAATTTTCCTAAACAAAATAAATTAGTAAGAATGGCATTGTTTCACACTTCTATAAATTTCTTTAATGGCTTAATAGACCACAACTAGATCTGTTTCTGAATTTAAACTGATATTACTGTTTCATTTTGCCTAAGCAAACACGTGTCTGCTGCTGCAGCTGTGGAAAACTCCAGGGTCACAGAAAGAATAGGTAAGACCGGAAAGTCTTCATTTCATTGTTAAACCCAGTTCCACCACTTGTTAGCATGTGACTTTTAGAAAATTGAAGGTTTCAGTATTTTTCTCAGTTAGAATGAAGGGAAAGAAAAAAAAGAGTACAGAACTGGTACTTACGGCAGTGCCTACATACCAGCAGCCAGGGTGCTCCAAAAATCCATAGATATGACTAAAGTTTAAATGCCAAAAGTAGATCAAAATTCTTACTTGCCCAGAAGTCAGGTGTATGTTTGTTTTGCCCTGCGTGATGACAAACACATTTTTTTTTTACTTCTGGGACAGAGGCCTTCATTCCATTTTCAAGTTAAGTTTGTTTACACTTCTTTCTGAACTCTGGTCATCTGCCTCCAAATGATAAAAATGCAAGTGTTTTGTTTTTGTATGTGTTCAAAATTTTCTTTAAGAAAAGTATTTCAAAATACTATAAAAGAATTGACTAAACCCAGCACTCTGACTAATGACTCAATTTTAAATGAAAAGAAGATATAAACTGCATATATCTTGCTTATTACTAAATCAAGTAATGAAAAACTGCTACAAATGGCTCTGGCAACTCAGTATGACTAGTTGATGATCAGAAGGCATGGCAACCATGAAAGTGATGGGCTTGAGCCAAAAGACACACTGGTTTACCCCTATTTGCCTATAACGCAGGCAAAATAATGTGGCTAAGATTATGCACAAGCAATTAGTTCAAATTAATATCATACTAAAAAGTGTTTTATTCAGTCTTCCTCTTCTATTTTAGACTTTGAAAAAACAACCAGGTCTATTGGCAGAGGCTCTTGTACACTTAAGAACACAAATACCCCATCAACATTTTATCCTTGCCAAACCAAACAAATTCAATTGAACTAAAGAATTAGCCAGCTGTTTATCATTGGCTACACTGGGAAGGATGGCAAAAGAGACAAATAGTTTGGGTTTTCTCTATCCATGTCTTGCCTAGGGGAAGTAGAAAACGTTTTGAGGTTTTGGCATGGAGTTTGGCAAACTGTTCCTTGGGAATACGCAAGTATTCTTAATTTTGCTACATCCAAACATAAAAACCATCAATATTACACTAGACTGCCATAACAAAGACCAGGCAACTTAAACAATAGAAAATTTTCTCAGTTTTCTAGGCTAGAAGTCGGAGATGAAGGTATCAGTAGGGTTAGATCCTTTTGAGAGGTATGAGAGGAGGAGGTTTCAGGCCTTTATTCTTGGCTTATAGAGGGCTCTCTTCACATTGACTTCCTTCTTTACATGTTGTATCCAAATTGGGAAATTCTTACAGGGATACTAGTCCGTGTAAAATCATTATACCATGATAATCTCATTTTAACTTCATTACTTCTGTAAAGACTCTATGTCCAAATTCGGTTACATTCGGTTACATACCAGGGGTTAGGATTTCAACATATGAATTTTGGAGGGGACATAATTCAGACCATAACATCCAAAGCTGCAATAAACTAATACCCAGCAGTTACTCTAGTTCTTCTTCTCTTTTACTAAAGGTACTGGAATATCATCCACTTATTCATGAACTGCCATGTCCTAGTTGACATAAGGGATTCACAGCATATTAGGAGAGACAAGCAAATCTAAAATATCTTATAGTGGAAGCCAAGTCCCTTAATCTCCTTTGAAACAAATCAAGGTAACTCAAGGTATAATAGTCAATAAAATCAAATATGAAGGGACTTCAAAATGTTTGTGGAAAATGGAATTACAGGATGATTTTATTTGGGTGCAAAAATCACTTAAGTCCATGCATTTTTTTAAAACTTTATTTACTTTTTTATTTTATTTTATTATTTCACTCATTTATTTTCATTTGACCAGAGAGAGACACAGAGAAAGAGAGAAAGTGAGAAAGCAAACCACCAAGTCCAGGACTAGAACCATGGTCAAACCATGATCGGCCATGTAGGAGTGTCCAGTGCCTTACTACTATGCCACCTGCTGGCCCAGTCCACGCATAATGTTTTATAATACATATTTTTCATGAGCTTTTTGAAGACCACCATGAAAACAAATGCTATGAAGAAAATAAGGAGACATGTAAAAGAAAGCCAAATGTAAACATTATCATTCAAGTATGTTGCTATCATTCATCCCTCTTTTCTCTCTCTCTTCTAAACATAATAGCAGACAGAAATACACTTTCCAGGGACCAGCAAATGGAGTAATGGTTAACACTGCTGGACTCCCACACAGTGGGCCACAGTTTGAGTCCTGGACCCAGCAGCTTAAAACTCACGTGGTGGATAGGGCTGTGCAACCGTGAGTGTATGTGCCCAAAATCCCGAGGGGGAGAATGAAGAAGGAATTGCAGCGTGGATATCCCCTGGGGTGGAGGGAGGTGATTTCTCACTTTCTGTCTCTGTGTCTCTGAGGAGCCACACACATCCTATAGCAAAAATCTCAACCAAAAAAAAAAAAAAAAGAAGGAAATACATTTCCTTAAAGCATTTTGCATTCTAAGTGGCAGTTTTCTCCTCAGTGTTGGGGACAAAGGCTTAAAGAAATGTTAAAAGAACCAAATTCCAATTAAATTGTGGGTTTAAGTCTTAGGGTGAGTCACTGCCCTTTAAGCTGGAATGAGACTCCCAAACATTAACCAAGTCTGCCAATAGGGCTCAGATGTTCTATAGAAAATGAAGGTGCAAAGTAGGGAGTTCAATGAGAAAATATGAGTGAATACAATTAATGGTGGTAATGTGTACTAATAGGGCCATAATTACAAATGCAACAGATCTCTACTGTTCAGATTTCTATTTGATTCTTCCCAATCAGAAATTCAGTGGATTTTACGAATACATTTTCTTGTTTTGTTTTGTTTGTTTGTTTTTTAATTATAATAACCAAAGAAATAACCCTTGGGTCTTTGAAAAAGTCATAACGCATTTTTGCACAGTAAAACACGTCATGACTTTCCCAATGACCCAATAATTCATTGTGACCATGGTGATTCATATTAACAAGGGTGATAGTTAATTCATTTCAGCAGTCTATTAATTACAAAGTTATTTTTAAAATAAAGTTTTTAGTAGTATAAAGTCTTTTACTAGTATAGCGAAATGTACCCTATATATTGCTTTATAGCTGAATGTGAGACTACAGTAATGTACAGCAAAAATTTCTATCTTGGTTCCTATTTGTATTTACAAGTCCTATTAGAATGTTTAAATCTTAAAATATTTTAAGCATTTATTTTTCTATTATACATTGTTGTCGAGAAAGAAATTACTACAGGAAACTAAGTATCTGCTGGACCCTTTTATCGATTCTTGACTAATAGAATCCAATTCAGTAAATCACATTATATTACAATAAACTCTTTGGAGCTTTATAATCTAGTGACATGAAATATATTTGCTCTTACCTACATTGTGTGAACTGGTCAATGTGATTTTCATGAACAGACTGGCCTTTCTAAGGTACCACCTAAAGTTGCATAACATTTAACATTTTCATAGTAAAAATAACACATTTTATTCTTATTTTCTTAACATGTTCTTTCTCTGCTTGTCCTTCCTCTTCTCTCAATGTATCATTATCACAAGTAGATAAAAAGAACATCTCATCTCCAAATAATGATGATTGTTAAAAATTAGCTATTATAAGTATGATAGGGGAAGAGTTTATTAAAATGAATCACTGGATTCCCACATGGCTGAAGTTGGTTTAAGTGCTGGACCGGGCAGCTTGAAAGTCACATAAGACACATGTGCCCAAAATCCCAAGAGAAGAATGGAGCAATAGGGATTTGTGGCATGACCATCCTCACTGGGGGCTGATTTCTCACTTTCTCTCTCTGTCTCTGTCTCTCTTTCTCCATCAAGTCAACGTACTCTGTGGCGAAAAATCTTTAAAAAAAAAAGAAAAAGAAAAAAGAACTCACCTATAAAACATTTTAAATAGAAAATATAATTTACACAAATTACAATAAACATAGTTAAAATCTCTCTTCTACCCCTTTCTGTAAGAAGACATACCTTATATTCCACTTACAAATCTCTCCACATGGATGTTTTTGTCTGTTGGGTTGGTTTGGTTTGCTTTGGTTTACTGTAATTTCACACAGTGTTTTAACACAGCTCAATAAATATTCTATACATAGAAGTAGCAATATGACAATGAAAAGAATGCTGACTTTGGTTCCAAGAAACACATGCCACCATTTTAGCAAGTACTTAAATTTTCTTCTTTAAAAAAAGTTTTATTTGTTTTACTTTTTCATGACAGAGAAGAAAAAATGAGGAAGACTGAGACAGAGCGAGAGACAGCAACTTCATGGTCTTCAATATTTTGGTTCTGACTCATGTAAACATTTTTCTGATTATCTACAGTTCTCTAACAGTCAGTTTGATTTGCACATTTCTACCTTCACTATATAGTTGGTGCTTCTTCTCCTACCCACTTCTAAAATATTTCCACCTTCCTCTTTATTCCCTTATCACGACCTACTTGAAGTCTCAATTCCCAAAATAGTCTCTCCCTCTTCTAGACTACTAAAGTGAGCACTGCTCTGGGGACTGTGTGGTCACTGTCCACCACAGTAACATTTATTGACTAACGAATCAGCAAGCACCTTAAAATTTAGATCAAGAGCATATACATGTGTCGACGGAAATATATAACCAACTGTAAAATTAATAATTAATAATTAATGCGGTTTATTTCCAAGCCAATTGTGAGTGACCTAGGCCTGGAGAAGAGGCATACATGCCTTTTCTCGGGGTAAGTAGTCAGACTTCTGTCCACACATGTCTGACAAACTGAAGAGGTCTGATCAGCAACTTTTTATACCCCCACAGTGAGAAAATGGGAGTGTAGTCTGTGTGTATTGAATAGAAACAATACCCTAACTAAACTAACTAAACATTAATTTACATTAAAGGGGGAGAAAAGATGTATTCAAAAAGAGGAAAGTTCACAATTGCTCACCCAATTTAAGCACTTTTAAGGCTTACATTATTCTATTAATTTTCCAAATCTATTCATCACTCTACAGTAGAGTGAATGTAAACTATCTCATAGCTGAACCCTAAAATAATTTTCATAGTACAGTTTAAGAACTCATATACAATGTTTTCATTAAGTCGAGTACAAATGACTGAATGAATCTTTATACATTTATATGAGAAAGCAACTAATGTTCAACCAATCAAAAGACTCTTTGTTCAAGAAAACACACACCAAACAAGTATCACTTAACATTTACTACTAAAAGGCTACCCTGATGCAAGGCTCTACAATGACAAATATTTAAATTAGAATGAAAAAGTACTGGATTTCCCAAATTCCTTGATCTCTGATATGCGGTACACATAACATTCTTTACCAGGTACAAACAGGACTTAGGAATGCAAGTCAATCTTGAACAAACAACAAACTAAAAATATGAATTACATAAAGTACTATAATGTACCAATTTAAAAATACCAGTTTTAAGTCCCTCCACCCATTCCACCCCACTCTGGGACTGTCTATCATAACCATACTGGGCTGTATTTATTAAAATACACCATTTGACAACAACACAGAACAAACTACTAATAATTATGATAAGGGTTACCAAAAATTTAAATTAACTGTGCAAAGAATAAAAATACTTAGTAAGATGATAATACAAAGTGAAGGACGAGTCCTTTTTTTTTTTTTTAAGTCTATTTATTTCTTCTGTGAGAGAGAGAGACACAGAGAGACACCTCCAACAGGATCCTCATGCTCTAATCCTACTCCAGCCTTACAGGAAACCTTGGAACCTGAACCCAAGATCTTTTCAAGTGGCCTCAGCATTAAGAAGCATTGCATTACTGCTGTGCCACTCCCACTGGCTGGAACAAGTCCTAATTAGGAAAACATGAGGGTATTGATTAAAAAGCAAGGACTGTAACCTCAGGTACAAATTTGGTTTAAACTCTCTGTACTCCACCATAAGAAGATGTTTATCTTGAACAAATATCTTAACCAGAGTCTCGGTTTCTATAGAGCAATAATAAGAATTCTTGCTTCATAAAATTGTGTACGTATTAAATTAAATGAATTATCTAAGTACTTAAAATATACTTAAGCAAATCTTACAATCTTGATAAATAATATTCAATCCAAAAATTCCCATTTTTACAGCTTAACCATTTCGAACATTCCAAAGAGATTGTCAAGGCACATAAAAGGATGGAAAGGGTCTCCTTCTCTCTCATTCTTTCTCTCTCACTCTTTTGGTTTTTGTTTTGTTTTACAAAGCTAGCACATTCAGAAACCAAAACCTGAAAAAGGTCTTACAAAAGGAATACTATGGCCCAACCTCATATAGCAAATCAAATACAGCTCTACTTTAAAGAGATTTGCTATAATCAAGTTGCCGTTATACCTTAGGAAATCTACTAGTAAATCTAATATAATTCATGAACCAATAGGTAAACAAAAGAAAAACCATATAATCACCTCAACATAAATTAAGAGGACATGTGATCGAATTTAATATATACTAATAGCTCAGTTACAAAAAAAAAAAAAAAGAAACAGAAGTATATTTGCCTTAAATAAAAATTTTGAATACACAACTGTGAAAACTTAAAGGCATTTTCATTAAAATGAGAAAGGAGCCAAGGATGC